CAAATCTTTGAACATGACTTTGTGAGTCCTTGATTTGTATTTTCTTAACTGACAAAGTAGAAAGGGAACATGCTAGGACACGTTATGTGCATATACAAATGGACAAATAAAAATACTTTTGGGAATACAAATCTACAAATATTTATGGGTAATCAAACTAGTTTGGGAAACAACTTATTAAACATGAACTCTCCCCTGTTCCCTCAGCCTCAGTAGTTCTCTCAAGTCCAGATAGTGTGAAGGTGTGATGTATCTGATGTATCCCCAGAGATGTTTTGTGTTCTCTTTGCCATTTAAAACTATCTCATCTCTAATACCACTGACCCACCCAGTCTTTTCTATAGTACTAAAACTGCATTTTCCTTTAAAAAATTTATGCCTGTTCCAGGTTTATTACTTCTGATGTTCAATCACAACCCATGTGAAACCAGGGTGTTTTCCTGGGACAAAAATAGAAAGTTTTCAAATATCTATTAGAGATGGGAATGTAACCGTGTTTGTACTTGGACAACGTACATGCTGTCATTTAGCAAGTTCGTCAGTTGTGTGTCCCCTTCAGACAACTTCTGTCTTTTCTTTTTGTTGTGACAAGCCAGACAGGTAGGAGTTGTGCACCTCTCTATCATAATAACAAAAATAGATCCGAGTGTGGTGGTGCATACCTGTAATCCCAGCACTTGGGAGGCTGAGGTAGGAGGATCATTGTGAGTTCAAGACCAGCCTGGGCTACAAAGTGAGCTCAAGGCCAGCCTGAACTCCATAGCAAGACCCTGTCTCAAGACAAAACAACAACAACAGAGTAGTGCCCTGTTATCTGGGGGGAATATGGTTCCATGTCCCCAATGTATGCTTCCAACAGAGGATAACAGTAAGTTACATGCACAAACACATAGCACTATATGAAAAAATTTAGTTGATCAATTATGCACATGCAGAGATTCACAATAGTACCTACTACTAAAATGGTTACAATAAAACATGAAGTTGGTGTCCTGTAAATGTGCTGTCTTTTTCTGAGTATGGCCCCCATTATTGTACGCACCCTTATCAAGATGTGACATAACACAAGAGCTATTGATATAAATTGAGATAAATGATGCATCATGGTGGCATGAGATTTAATCATGCTACTGAGAATGGCACATGATTGGAGGCTTGCTAATTTTTATTTATGGATTTTTAAATATTAGACCTTGGTAAACTGGCAGCTTTAATATGTAGATAAAGAGGGACTGTGACTATCTTAGCCGGTGCCACACACCACCTACTGAACACACGGGAGCAAAGACCATGCCCCACACCAGGCAGCCCTGTATCTAGTCTTGTTTTCATGCACTGAACTCATATGCTTGTGATCATATCATTGTGTGGCACATTGTGGATCTCCACTTCTGGGTTCACAATGTGGCCTCATACCTATCATTTGGGATTCTGCTCCTTGGAATCATAAAAATCATGTGGATTTTCTTTAGAAACAAAGGAAGGATGCTGAAGCCCTTACAGAGCTACATATTCAGGATGCTGCTACTTATAGATGATTGACTTTCCTATTATAGGTATGACTTTTACTTTTGTAAGAAAAAATAAAAGATCAGTAATTGGAAAAAGATAGTTTACAAATGGAAACAGGATGAAGAAATGGATGGAACAGGGAGAAAGGGGATGTGAAGGGGAAAAGTTCAGACATGCTTTGTACATGTGCCATGTTTTGGCAACAAATGTAAACATTATACACTGCAAACATAACATTAATACAATTTTTAGTATATGTACTGCCACAGTGAGCACTAATAAAAATTTAAACTTACTAAAATTGTTTTGTTTTGGCTTATTTATCTTGTCATCAGCATGACTTGATGGACACATCCCATAAAACCTGGTAAAGCACACTTCTGTGTGTCTGTGTATGTCCTAAAGAAAATAACTGATATGTGGCCCATTGATCTGAGTGGGAAACAACCATCAAAAAATCCTTTATAACATGAGAAAAGTAGAAAAATAAACTCTTATATACATGTGTATACACATGTTCCACTGTAGTACACTAATAGTTTAGAACCCTGCAGGGACTACAATGAGGTTGGTGTTAGGTACATCAAATAAGCTGAAGTGGTTACAGATCTTCCTTGAGGTACAAGGCGAAACGATTTGGCCAACCCAACAAAGTTAAAATGAAATACGTTGAATATGCACTTAATACACCAAATCTAATGAACATTACAGCTACTACATTTACATGTTAATCATACTCACACTGACCTGTAATTAGGAAAAATAATCTAACATAGAGCTTGCTTGATGATGAAATATAAAATACCACATATAATTTATTAAACAGAGTACACTTGAGTACTTGTTGAGCTGAGCACAGTGGGGCACACCTGTAATCCCAGCACTCGGGAGGCTGAGACAGGAAGATCGTTGCGAGTTTGAGACCAGCCTGGGATAAAAAGTGAGCTCAAGGCTGGCCTGAAACTGCATAGTGAGACCCTGTCTCAAACACACACACACTACTTGTTTACCATTGGTATCACAGGGCTCACTGCTGCAACCCAACAGAAAAAGTGAATTTTGCTGTGTTAAGAAGGAATATGTAACAGTGAAATATATTATCTTTAGCTGTTTGAGGAAGATACACAAAAGAGGAAGCACTACATTGAATGGAATTACTATTTTAGTTTTTCAAGTATTTTCTACATTGACTTCCCTACTGGTTGAACTAGTTTAGTTTATATTCCCACCAATGATGTTGAATGATTCCTTTCTCTCCTGTGTCCTCATGACTTTTTTTTTTTTTTAGCTCTTAGTGATACATGCTTTTTCGAATGAAGATGCTGTTTCAATTTGCATTTCTCTACTGGGTAAAAATGATGAACAATTTTTCAGATATTTCTGCCAACTTGTACTTCTGAGAAGTGTATATTCATTTCACTTTCCTGTTCTTTCAAGATATTAGTACTCTGCAGAGTAGATAGAAAATATTTTCACATTTTGTAGGTTTTTTGTTCATTCTGTTGTTTGCTTTCATGTCCATGCAGTTTTTCAATTTTATATAATTCTTTGTTTGTTGTATTATGCCACCTTATTTTCTACCAAAACTCTAGGAATAACATTAAGAAAACTAATTTTTTCATGTCTCTCCTATATTCAGACCAAGGAATGCCTATCTTATTCATGTTTCACTGTTAATGTTGCAATCTGTGATGCAGGCATATATATGGTTGCTGTACAAATTTTACCATGACAAGATTATTTCCAGCAGAACCATGAATTGCCATAGTGATATTTTACCCCATCCAAGGTTTATGTTCTTAACCTAGACTTGTTCATTTCCTTGAAATTAAAATGCAGACATACAGAACTGTTTCAGTTTGAAGAAAAATCTATCTAAATTGCCCCCCCCCCCAATCCCAGCTTCAAAGTCATAATCATCCTGAATTAGCCTCTTCTGATGCTGGGACTAAAGGGATGCAGCACTGCATTTGGCTTAGACTTTAATACATTAAGTGAGAGAAGAACAAATACTGATGTGTAATGGCTTGTATTAATATACTTTTGATACTGGAGAGTAAAGCTGACTCCTAAATCACTGAGCTACATCTGCAGAACTTCAACATATATTTTGAGAGGATCTAAGTTGAATAGGCTGGCCTCAGTTTTGTTTTCCTTTTATCTCTGCCTCCTGAGTTGTTGAGATTACAAACATACATCACAAGGCCCAGAAGATTTTTTTCTTCATGGTACAATAACGGGAAAGTAACATGCTTGGAGTAAAACATCTTGTAGTTTCAATATTCCATCACAAACTGGAATAGCAATACACATTACACTTCTTCCTATTGATGGTAAGAAGCAGAAATTTGCTGCAGGGAAGTTAGACATGATTTCTAGAGTGCAAAACTTGACACTGTATTCTGCAGCATATTATATTTCATGGATTAGATCAGATCTTTCAGATATTACACAATTGGTGAATAATTTATTTCTAAGCATAATTAAGACTAGGGCAAGCTATAATCTTTACTGCTCATCATGGCTATTTAAAAATGAATCATTCACTTATGTTTTCATGATACCACAAGTTTGTAACAATGTAACCCCATCAGAAATTGAGCAGTTTTTGTATTGAGAATACTGTATAGAACAAAATATTTCAATGTTAAAATGATACTTAAAAATACAAGTTACAGGAGACCAAGTGTGGTCAAGCACACACGCTGAGCCAGTTTATGTGCTTGAAAGCATTTGTCACACACCTCAAACATTACATACTGCTTCTTATGAATAATGAAAAATGGCATTGTATAAATTTATCTCTACAATTGGGAAAACAACACAATCTGAATTAATTTAGTAAATTCCACTTTTTACAAAACTGGTATCGCTCATGAGCTAGATTTTTCTTCATGGAATTATTTCTGTTTTTTAGGCAAAAACAATAATGATGGCCAGACATGGTGGTGCACACCTGTAACCCCAGCACTTGGGAGGCTGAGGCAGGAGGATTACGGTGAATTTGAGGCCAGCTTGGACTACATAGTGAGTTTAAGATCAGCCTGAAGGGGCTGGGGATTTAGCTCAGCGGCAAAAGCGCCTGCCTGGCAAGCGCAAGGTCGTGAGTTCGGTTCCTGGTACCGGAGAAAATTAAAAAAAAAAAAAAAAAAAAAAAAAAAAGATCAGCCTGAACTACACAGTAAAACCCTGTCTCAAAAAATATGAATACCAATGACAGAATAGCATCACAGCATCAGGGGAAAAAGACATTTGCTTCATTACATTCATTAGCAATTACTCTCCCCAAATCAACTTCACTGTTGATATATTTCCTTCAGAAGTGTTGTTACTGATAAATCATACCATCATTTACAGTTTTGGAGAGATTATTATACTTCATGATATTCTTTTGTAGACAACTTGTGGTCCTGCTTGCAGGTCTATGGCAATCAGAAACTAACAGCAGTTTGAGTTATTTTTGGTATATATGGTGGAAAAATTATCACTAAATTAAGTCACCAGAATTTAAACAAGAAAAATTTTGATGATAAAAACAAAATTTTGTGTAAATGATAATACTGGCCCTAAGATGAAAGAAAAATAGGCAGAAGTATGCACATGATATACTATACAATATTGGAATATAAGCATTGTCATATGAGAAATATAATGTGCTAATCTACAAATTGTGCACAAACAAATGAACTTTGTCAAAAAGCACATGTTCATAAGTCTCTGAAAATAACATAAAATATGGCATCAAAATAAAAATATCTCCTGTTACACAGAATACAGACTAAACACACCAAAAATTTAAAACAAAGGCAGTGGCAAAATCCCAACAACAAAAAGCAATTAACAAAATTAAGTTTTTTAGTGGCCTATCTTCCCCAATTGTAAAGACTAAACAAAAACTACATAAACACTAACTCAACTTGTAAGTAAAAAATATATTTCAATTCACCATGCTTAATCAAGACACTACATATTAAGCTCAAAGACACATAAAAAGTTATGCCTGCTTATATATATATATAGTCTCCAGTGAGATTTCATTTATTTAACAATAGATCTATGTAATTCTTACACTGCTTATACACGTAAGGTTTCTCCCCATCGTTTTTTGTCTTTGACAAGCTCCAGGCATGCTAAAAGATTTCCCACACTGCTTTCTTACATAGAATTAATGCTAAGTGTGAGTTCTTTCATGTTTTTTACAATAACAAGCTTTGCTAAAACCTTTCCCACATTGCTTACATACATAGGGTTTCTCCCCAGTGTGAGTTCTTTCATGTATTTTACAATCATATTGTGACCTGAAAGCTTTCCCACAGTGCTTACATACATAAGGTTTCTCCCCAGTGTGAGCTCTTTCATGAATTCTACAATACCTTTGTACATTAAAAGCTTTCCCACATTGCTTACATACATAGGGTTTCTCGGTACTGTGAATTTGTTCATGTCTGTAACATTCACTAGACACACTGAAAGCTTTCCCACATTGCTTACATACAAATGGTTTCTCCCCACTGTGAATTCTTTCATGTCTGTAACGAGCATTAGACACACTGAAAGCTTTCCCACATTGCTTACATACATAGGGTTTCTCTCCAGTGTGAGTTCTTCCATGTATTTTACATTCATTGAGCCTTCTGAAAGCTTTTCCACATTGCTTACATACATAGGGTTTCTCCCCAGTATGAGTTCTTTCATGTATTTTACAATAATCTTGTGACCTAAAAGCTTTCCCACAGTGCTTACACACATATGGTTTCTCCCCAGTGTGAGTTCTTTCATGTCTTTTATATGCACTGTGCCTGCTGAAAGCTTTCCCACATTGTTTACACACATAGGGTTTCTCCCCAGTGTGAGTTCTTTGATGTATTTTACACTGATCGGGACGAGTGAAAGCTTTCCCACATTGCTTACATACATGAGGTTTCTCCCCAGTGTGAGTTCTTTCATGTGTTTTACATTCTTTGCGACTACTGAAAGCTTCCCCACATTGCTTACATGCATAGGGTTTCTCCCCAGTGTGAGTTCTTTCATGCCTTTTACAATAACAAGCTTTGGTAAAACCTTTCCCACATTGTTTACATACATAGGGTTTCTCCCCACTGTGAGTTCTTTCATGTCTATGACAAGAACTAGGGGTGCTGAAAGCTTTCCCACAGTGCTTACATACACAGGGTTTCTCCCCACTGTGAGTTCTTTCATGTTTTTTACATACCCTGCGCCTGCTGAAAGCTTTCCCACATTGTTTACATACATAGGGTTTCTCCCCAGGGTGAGTTCTTTCATGTATTTCATATTCTTTGCGAGTACTGAAAGCTTTCCCACATTGCTTACATACATATGGTTTCTCCCTAGTGTGAGTTCTTGCATGTATTTTACATTGATTGAGCCTTCTGAAAGCTTTCCCACATTGTTGACATACATGAGGCTTTTCTCCAGTGTGATTTCTTTCATGCCTTTTACAATAATACTGTGAAATAAAACCTTTCCCACATTGCTTACATACATATGGTTTCTCCCTAGTGTGAGTTCTTGCATGTGTTTTACATTTACTGTGCCTGCTGAAACCTTTCCCACATTGTTTACATACATAGGGTTTCTCCCCAGTGTGAGTTCTTTCATGTATTTTACACTGACTGGAACTGTAGAAAGCTTTTCCACATTGCTTACAAACATAGAAGTTCTTCCCACTGTGAATTCTTTCATGTATTTTACAATAATTTTGGGTACTAAAAGCCTTCCCACATTGCTTACATACATAGGGTTTCCCCCCATGGTGATTTATTTCATAGATCTGACCATCATTGGGTGTGCTGGAGGCTTTAGAATTTTTCTTATATACAAAGGTCTTCTCTCTAAAGTGAGTTCTTTCACTAAGATCAGAGTAGGATTTCCCACACTGATTATATTTACAGGGTTTTTCTTCAGTCTTTCTCCTTGCATCCTTCTGAAAGGACTGGAAATCACTGTAGGGTATTTCATGTTCATTACATTTACTCAGCTTCTCTTCTGATCCCAAATACTCAGATGTCTTTAGTCCAGCATGAGTTATGATGGGTACATTTAGTGACAAATGCCCAATCAGAGGATTTCCACAAGCAAGGCCGTCAGCCTGTTTTATACCAGCTTGTTTCATGTCCACATTAGCATCTGGAATGAATATTTCTGCATATTGATTCCAGCCTTTATTCTGACAGCATTTCTCAACCTCTTCACTTCTGTAGAGGAAAACAACAACAACAACAACAACAACAACAAAAAACAACCAAAAACTAGTTGCAGTATAATGGGTCTCCATATTAATCATTTGCTTTGATGCCTCCTAAGAAATTCTGACAATGAATGAACTGAATGCCCTGGAGGATAGTATCAAATCAGCCATTTCCAAGAGTGATACTCATTTGGAAAATTTTAAATTGGTATATTTTACAATACAGAAGGCTTAGATTCATTTTGGGCAATTGGTACATAAGTATATCACATACTGACCATTTTGATACCTTTCCCCCCATCACTCTCCCCCTTCTCCTTACATTGTCTGTCTTCCCAAAAAGTCAGGCTTTCCTTTTTTAATTACCTCTCTTTTATTTTACTCCTTTTATTTTTGGTTTATCATGTAAGAGAAAGCATGTGACCTTTCACATTCTGTGTCTGACTTATTTAACTTAATACTATGAAGGATGAAGACCCATCTATTTCTTTTGCCAAATGACATTTCATTCATTTTTATGGTTGATTATACAGCACATTTCTTTTTCTTTTTAGTGCTGGAAATTAAACACAGGTCTTAGCACCCAATTACATCTTCAGCTTTTTTATTTCTTATTTTGAGAGAGATTTCCATTGATGATTAAGTTGTTCAGGCTGAGCTTTAATTTCCCATCCTCTTGAATCAGCTTCCCAGAGTCCTGGGAATATAAAAAATCATGCTGAATCTATCAAAAATTTTCTTTATCCATTCATCCAATTATGGACATCTGTTATATATTGTAATGTTTTGAGTATGTGAATGCATGTATCAGTACAATGTGATGATTTTAACTCTTTTGGAATAATACCCTGGAGAGGTATTCCTGGATCTAATGAAACTATTTGTACTTTCTGAGAGGTCTATATGCTGATTATCATACTGGTTATACTTAACATTCACACCAACATTGTTGGAGGGTGCCTCTTAAGAATTTTAAAACATGAATGGACTCAATTCTCCGGAGGATAGCTTGAAAATACTTGTTTTGACAACACTAACATTTATATATAATTTGAGTACTGCTCCAACATTAGCAATTTTTTTAGATACTTAATGTATTACATTCACATACATACATAAATAGATATGCTAAAGGGTTTTTAAATTCATTTCTTTTCAATACATACCTATACATTATACTAAATGCAATTTCATGCATTTTTATGATGGTGATCATGAAGGAACATTTTTTATACTTATATGTCAGATAGTGTCACTTGTTTCATGATATCAGTACTCAGTTTCCTACATTGGAATTTTTTTTTTTTTCCCAGTACTGGGAATCGAACTCACGACCTTGCACTTGCTGGGCAGGTGCTGTGCCGCTGAGCTAAATCCCCAGCCCCTACATTAGAATATTTCTGTATACAGTTGTCAGTTATACATACTAAAACTACATACATCTTTGGAGAATATTTGTGATTAAATGTGAAGATTAAATAAATCTGAACATGGCCATGTTTCCCTGTTGTGATATTTGTATCCCGGTTGTGATATTTCTACTCATATACTGAATCTTGAGGAATATTCTTTTTCCTTTTGAGTATAAATTACCTTAGATTTCTCCAGTAATTTCTGTATTCTTCTTCAGCTTCCTGGTTACCCAAGACTCTTCCTGAATTATAGACCAAGAAATATAAGGAGACACTGTATTATTACATAAAAATAAGCAGATTTGGGCTGGGGATTTAGCTCAGCAGCACAGTGCCTGCTTGGCAAGCGCAACGTCATCAGTTCGATTCCCGGTACCGGAAAAAAAACAAACAAAAAAAAAAGAGTAATTTTTGTCTGGGGATTTAGCTCAGTGGTACAGCACCTGACTGGCAAGTACAAGGTTGTGAGTTTGATTCCTGGTACTGTAAAAAAAAAAAAAAAAAAAAAAAAAAAAAAGAGCAGATTCCAGTTGATTCATGTAAACAGGTGTGAGATATTCTCCAAAATGTTTTCACATTCTATTTAATGAAACTGCACTGATGAAAAATGATGTCCTTTGATTGTATAAATGAGAAAGTAAAAAAAAAAAAAAAAAGGAGAGAAAGTAATGTCATCCTTACCTATAGCAGCCACATTCCTAAAAGTTTCCCTCATCACATGTTGGTAGAGCTTCTTTTGGGATGGATTAAGCAAAGCCCACTCCTCCATGGTAAAGTTCACAGCCACATCCTCAAAGGTCACTGCCTCCTAAATAATCAAACATATATTTCTTGAAGGAAAGTTGATACTCACAGCCTGGGATATTTCAACTCCTCTCATAAAAAAGTAAATTGAAAGCCAGGTGTGGTGGTGCACGTCTGTAATTCCAACACTCAGCAGGCTGAGGCAGGAGGACTGCCATGAGTATGAGACTAGTGTGGGCTACACACTGAGTTCAAGGCCAGCCTGAACTGCATAGTGAGACCCCATCTCAAAACAAAACAAGACAAAACAGCTGAATGGGGGCTGAATCCTTCAGATATTAACTCTATGTCTCAGTTATCAAATTTATGTGAATGCACATGTTTTCAGATACAATTCTGATGCTAGATTGCCACTCATTGCTCAAGCAACAGCAGAATAGCAAGCATACATTGCAAGGGTACCCGTGCGCTGTCTCCAAAGCAGAGCTCACAGAGGGAGCCTACAAGTTCACCACCCACCAAACGCTGAGGCAGATGAATATCTAAAGAATGTTTCTGATAGACTGTAGGTAGTATCTCTTTTCAAACCTTATTATTTATGGATTGAATCCTTCCTTCTTTGATTGTACTTAGCATCTTGAAAGTTGAATTTGGCTTCATAAAAAAAATTTAATATCAAGTAAGGTTTATGAATAATAATTAAAATGTTAATGGAAACAGTTTTATTGGGACAAATCTATGAACACTGAAAATAGGGAAAGAGTGGCATTTTATCTTATAGCTCAGTATCACTAAATGTTCATAAGAAATTCTAGGGGGACATGGGAGAGTAATGAAGAGAAATAAAATATATTGTATGCATTGAAAACTGATATATCACAATGTAATTAGGTGCAAAAAGGAAACTTTAGCCAGATGTGGTGGTGCATGCCTGTAATTCCAACACTTGGGAAGCTGATGCAGGAGGGTTGTCATGGTGTTTGATGTCAGTCTTGGCTATATAGTAAATTCAAGGCTGAAATAAAGTGACACCATGCCTCAACTCCCCCCCAGAAGGATAACCTCCAAAAAAATGTCATTTATAAATGATACCTTAGATTGGATAAAAATTTACAGCTATACATGATAAAAATCAACATTCAATAACATTTAAGCAAGAAGGCCGATATCTTACATAACACACATGAAAGATATTCAAATTCTACCCTTCACGAGGCTCTACCATTATTAGAGAGATTGACAAATAGATCTCAAAAAAGTAAGACAGTCTTCAATGAGTCCACACATACATAGAATAATGATTCATGATAGAGCTGATGCTATGTGTCTCTGGAGGAAATCACCGTCTGTTTCATTTATGCTCAGGGATAAACAGGTATTTTCTTGGAAACCTGGGTTATATACTCATCTATGTACAATAATTAAGTTACATACTGCAATGAGAAAGATAAATTGGAATGCCATGAAAATTCACACTGAAATAACTTCTACATGTGAAGAAGTGTCTCTTCAGGAGAGCATCAACTAACCATCAGAATTAGAAGGACAAATTGAATGTAAGAAAATCATAAGAAATAGAGTAAACAAGACAAGAAGAAAATATTTGGTACGTACACAGTATAAAAATTTTGTGTAGGGAGTAAAGATTGATGAACACAAATCTCAAAAAAGGACTGCAACATATCTAACTCAAGAGAAAACAGTGACTAGAAAGCAAGAACCAAATCTTTTTTGAGAAAATCATTTAAAAATGGAAGTGTGGAAGAACACAGTAAGGAAGTATGCAAAATGGGGAATAAATTGATACACTCTACACTCATTTCTTTTACTTTGGAGTTTACCAAAATCTGTAGATCACTGACTTTTTCCTACTGTCTAGAGAAAACACCATGTTCCAGCAATACCTCGAGATAGATGTGGTTCTTTTTAAGTAAACTTGAAAATCCTGAACCATATGGCCAGTGGGATGGACGAGAAAGCACTCTGCCCTTGATTCACATATTGGTATGTGGTGGACTGACAACTGCTAGTCAATTTGTAACACCCAGCTGAACTGAACCAGCATGGTGCTGAGTGTGGGAGGCCCAGCTGAGGACTGTTGCCGGCAGCATAAGAGGCAGAACTGGAGAAGAAGAGAAGCTGTTCATTCTCTTGAGCTGTTGAGTCTCCTAAGGAGTTTGTTGTGCTGGCTTTTCTGATGAATTCAGCTGTTCTCATCAACAGATGAGCTCAGGACCTTGTTGTTGCTGAGGATAGCTGTGGTTCATTTTGGGTGAGCTCTGGTCCTTACTTTGAGCATCGCTTCCTGGCTCTGGAGGGAAAGATGCTGCATTGTTCAATCTCCTAGAGAAGCTTGTTGTGCTGGCTTTCCTGATAGGAGTTTGGCTGTTCTCATCTTTGGAGGAGCTCAGGACATCACTGTTGCTGAGGATGGCTGTGGTACCTTTCAGGGGAGCTCTGGTTCTTACTTTGAGTATTGCTTCCTGGCTCCAGTGCAGATCCCTCAACTTGCTGGCACAGATTCTTCATCCCACTGGCACAGACTTTCTAGCCTCTACCACTGACCTTTGGGCCTTCCCAAAGCAAATCCATGAAACAGGCTCACATGGGACATTGTCATGGGCTCTTGGCCTCCAGCTAAACTTGTGGGGGGCATTGTCATGGGCTGTAGGTCTTCAGCTGGACTCATGCAGACACTGTCGTGGGATCCAGGCCCTCAGCTGGATTCACTGGGTCTTTACTGTGTGGACAGTTTTCCTGCACTCTCTCTGTATATGTATACGAGTCTTTGGGGGACTGTTATAAAATAGTCTTATAAATTGTGTTGGGTATTGTTCCCCTTGCATAACCCCAAACTACAACACAGCACTTGGGAATAATATGAGATGGAAAAACAACAACAAGAAACCATGGAAATATTTCTAGAATAATCATTTATTGAAAGTTCCAAGGGAGGAAACTAAAAGAACATTGTTCATAGAAAACCACACATTGTGAAACCTTAGGAAGAGTCACCAAAGTGGGAGAGTGGTCATCCATGGGCAAGAGAGGTTTGAGTCGGATAGGGTTTCAATAAGGCCCAATGATGAACTTGCTGAATATTCCCAGGATAAAGTATAACTGGAGTTCATGGCCTTAGTCATTCACAGATTTTTCCTTCGAACCCAACAACTGTTCACAGAAAGCCCTGCAATCCTACAGAAGCCATGTGTATCCTCCACAATTTTTTTTTGTGGGAGGTTTGTAAGTAGCCAGTCCAAGTGCGTCATTCAGTTCTCCTTGCTGCTGAGTGGCTGCCGCCCTGTAACTCATCTCTGGCCGATGCACCAGCCACTCCCGCACCATAACTGGGTGCTGTACGGCATGCTGCACTCTCCAGTGTTCTTGGTCTTGTTCTTCTTAAAGCCCTAAGATGCTGCCAAAATACCCTGCATCTTCTAAGGCTTTATTAATATAGTATTTTATTAAATTAAATTACATCACTGCAGGAGAGACTGCATATTTAGGACTTAAATAATAAAAAGAGCCATTAATAGGCTCTTTTTCTGACCGTATCTAAAATTTGCAGTTTCTCCCAATACACAAGTGCTCTAGGAATGTAACCCTCACAAATTTCTGGGGTTCACTATATTTACATTGTTATTAGTGCGAAATATTACCACGAATTTTGAAAATAAAATGTATTGCAAAATAGTTAACACTAAATTACCATGGAGAAAGTACACATTAATTTATATCAGCCTGGGCTACATAGTGGGTTCAAGGCCAGCCTGAACTACATAGTGAGACCTTGGTTTTAAAACAAGATCACTTCTAAATTTTTCTTTACTTCGTCGGATGTAATCAATCCTCCACTCCATTTTTTACTAGGAAAATCATAATCTTATGGTTCAATCATGAAAATAAATTTTTAAGTCCTTAAGCAACTTATATTTTATATAAACAACATGCTGTTAAAGAAGCAAAAGGGAAGCTGGTTGGGAAAGAAGGCTGTTTTGCTGCCGTTCACAAAAGAACCCACACTCAGAAGGCTGACCACACTCCTGAGGAGATACACAACATACTGTGTCCATGCAGCCCGGGGCAGCTCAATCACAGGTGGTAAGACAGGAAAATAGGAGAAGTCAGGTAATTTAAATCTGGGGCCTCTTCACTTCCTAGTTAGTCATCTTCCCAGGGTGAAATTTCATGTCCTTAGTTTCAATTCTGAGCAAAGACAAATACCTACAGTCAGTTGAGGACTGACCTTTGCCTTTTCCCAATTTTTCTTTTGAATTCTAGTGTATACTGCTTGCTGAGCACTAAGCAATTCTCCAAAAAAAAATTGGTAGGCCCCAAATCAATGCATCACCCAGAGAGACCAAAGCTTTGCTGGCTTCAGGGTGCTCCTGCAGTACACTGCTCCAAGTGAAGACTGGCGTCCAAAGCAGGCGATGTTGCTTTTCATTACGAGGCATCACTCTGAGGTTATCAGGGGGCGGCACACCGAGTCCCTCCGTTAAGAGAAGTGAATACACCGCCTCAAGTTGGCTTATGATAAAAAAGGATGGACGTTCCTACTGTTTGAAAAAGTATGACAGTCTTAGATTCTCTTCTCCATTTAAAAAACAACCTATAGTATACGCACAACTAACCTCAAATTCACAGACACTTATCCAGGGGGAAAAAGTTTCAAGGATGTCTTTCAGAATGGCACTCACACTTCCACACTGGGAAAAAGTCACAACATTTTTGACATAAAAACAAATAACTGATGACGTTTAATTTAACCAAGCACACTGATCATGGTGTAGAGTTGTGTTTGGTGATCTACACCTGTGATCACATAACTCTGGGAGGCTGAGGCAAGAGGATAAAAGCTTCAAGGTCAAGGCAGTGAGACCTAGTGTCAAATGTAAAATAGGTAACTAAAAATGTAAAAGGCCTGGATGTTTCCCAGAGTGAAGGCCCTGGGCCAAATCCCTACTAT